CGTAGGGGTGAAGTGAGTACGAGCTCAACTTCGGCGTGGTACGGAAACGTTGCTGCAAGTTCGTGGCATTGGCGCTCGCCATACGGGGTGAGCGATGGATCTGGAACGTTGTGGTTGCTGTAAGACAGATTGTGAACACCTTGCGCGTGCCTGACACAATGAATGATACGCGCCACTATGCGCAGGACAGTCGAATCAGTTTTTCGCGCAATGTTGTTTTAATGGCGCGCACTCACTCGCACACCAAAGTCGCGTGGTTGCAGAATTGATGCGACGAGGGCTGAGCGAGAGATGATGCGCAGCTGCCTGATCGGTGGGCGAGTGTGCAGCGGGGCTGTGCTGTCCCCCCATATCGTCTCAGCCGCACCGCGCTCCCACCTGAGTACTTTCCTTCATCTCAATCTCGCCCGCACAAACTATCTTCGAGTCTTGGTGCGAAGAAACACCGAAATGGAGGGTTCTAAGCCGCCTGCCAAATGTCGCAAAATCACACCGATTGCAGGTCACAGGCCAGTAACCAGAGCCAGCCTTGCACGCGCCCAACAAGATAACTCCACACTACCCGCCTACGTTTATCGAGCACTCAAGAAAAAAGACGAGATACGCATCTTCAGAGTCGAGAAAATAGGAGCGAATGAATGGCAGTATAGCATCGAACACACAACATTAGCCGATGCACCACCCTTCGAAACCGTCTCGTATGTCTGGGGACCGGATACGCGCCGCAACATCCTACGTCTGCGAGATGATCGGACGATACGCATCAACGACAACCTTGCCCAAGCCCTTCCTTATCTTTCGGCAGAATGCAAGACTGGATATCTGTGGATCGACCAAATCAGCATCAATCAGTCTAGTACCCAAGAGCGCAATCATCAAGTCAAGATGATGGGTGATATCTATAAGAAGGGTGAAAGAGTTATTGTTTGGTTAGGTACTGGACTGAATCCTAGCAAAGCAGTAATCGCTCTCATTGAGACGATGTGCTCCTTACTTGAACTACGAGAGGATCTAGTCCTTACCACAGCAAAGGTTGAAGATGAGTTGCTCAAGCTGTGCCCTACAGACTTCTGGGCAATTCTTCGACTTCTTGATAGCGAATGGTTTTCCCGTGGATGGGTCTTTCAGGAGATCGTACTCTCAAAGCACGCGGCATTCCTGCTCGGAGATATCGTCGTACCTCTCTTGGCACTTGTCTGGATATCCAGAGTATGTGCTAACTCTCGGATACGTGCCAATGCACATCATTGCCAAATGAACTCTTCCGAACCGAGTCATGTAAGAACTCAGCCAAGTTTCAATCTTGACGAGGTGTCGACACATAGCTACCGAACCCTTTCCATGATGCATCACAGCTGGTATACTATCTCTCGTGGTGTGCCCACAATGGATTTGCCTTTCATGCGGAAATTGTCAAAAGTTAGCCCACTTTTGCACACAACAGATCCGAAAGATTCCGTGTACGCATTCTTAGGCTTGCAAAATATAGATACTTCTCATAGGCTAGTCGGTATACCGGCATTCGGGCCGACTCAACATGGAGGCATTCAGGCTGATTACAATTCAACTTACGAAGAGTGTCTTACCAACACTGCGCTATCATTCATTCGGGATACGAATACCTTGGATATCTTGTTACATTGCAAACGAAAAACTGGACCGTACCCACCCAAGCATTTGCCTTCTTGGGTCCCTGAGTGGAGAGCAGCGATCTCAGCACCGCTTCTTGTGCAGAAGAGGCTTCCAGGATTTGCTCTCTACCCGTGTCACGAACTCGTTCCAACACAAGATCCCAACGAATTACACGTCAGAGGCGCATGTCTCGATACAATAAGCACATGTTTTGCGCCCGAATATCGGTTTCGCGCCACTGCCTGGTACGAAGAGAATCTTGAACAATATCTCGCGCTCGATAAACGGTGGGATTCTGTACAGGGATACACAGTTTGCTCCCGCGAGCGTCTTTTGGATGTCCTTTTGACTCGACCCTACCGCCCTGATATCAATTTCAAGAAGTTCCATGGCACTTCGAACGACTACAGCACTATGGACCTCTTGAAAGAATACGACGAATATCGCGACACGCATGATAAGACCCATAGGGTAGAAGAGAGCAAGAATTTGCACGCATTACGTTATCTTACATATTCTCTCAATAACAGACAGCTCTTCTTGACAAAAGGTGGGCACTTAGGTCATGTTGAACAACCATCCGAAGGCGACAAGATATGTTCTCTAAAAGGATTCTCACATCTTATCGTATTAAGACCTTGTGGAAATGAACGTTTCACTGTAGTGGGAACTTGTCATGTGGAAGAGCAACTTGTGGATGTGGACCGGCTCATGACGAGAGCCAGTAAATCCGCGGATTCATTTTGGGGAACACACGAGGCTGAAGAGTTCATATTAGTGTAATGCGATAAACAAAAACCCACTAGGGCCAGCTTCAAAGTTCCTCGTATCTATTTCCATCCATATATTGTCACGCTGCACTGCAATCATGTTAATAGCTGGTTAGAAAAAGATATCCTTTGAAAACCTCATTCAAGTAAAGGACTAAACGCTGCAATGCCTACGTAAATGTCGGGCTACTTAGTCAGCAGAATTCCATCTTAATACACGCTGCAAACCTATTGACTTTCCCCTGCAGAAGGTGCGAAGGTATGTTACAACACGAGCTGAGAGCGTTTTCCAGGACAAAAAGTTTATCATTCTATAAAAGTCATTACATTAATCTCAGTCCACCCATTTCATGATATCTATCATTTCCGTCTCATTAATCGTACATTAAAACCATCTAGTAGTAAGTGTAAACAGGCGACGCAGGAAGAGTGCCAAAGTCACCAGAGCCGAAGGGGCTGCTAGGAGAAACCTTTCCGCCATTGACATCAGAAACGCCGAACCAAGCAAGCTCATTGCACTTGCTGACAGTGATAACAGCGAACGCGGGTGCGGGCTGCGCGGCGTATCCCCAAGACACGGTCAGATCAGTACCGCACGACTGGTTTGACCAGCTCTCGGTAGCAGCGTTGGAGCCCGGCATGCGGATGACAGTGCAGTGTTCGGTCTTGCCGTCTGCGGTGACGTCAAAATTGTAGTCGCAGCCGGAGTTGCCGTCGATGCAGTAACGGATCAAGTTCGAGACGGTCCATGTCTTGCCCTCAACGGGCTTGGGGCTGGAGTTTGGTGTTCCGGTTACCGCAGGGCAAGGGGCAGCAGTTGGTGTAGGAACAGCGGCTGGTTGAGATCCAGCGGATGGTGTCGGGCATGATCCTGGGTGGGCAGGGTTGCAACCTCCGGGAATGCCAGAGATGGATGAGAAAGTGGCAGCTGGGGCAGAGGTTGGTGTGGGGCACGATCCGGGGTGAGCTGGGTTGCAGCCGCCGGGGATACCGGAGATGGAAGAGAAGGCCGCTGCTGAAGTTGCTGTTGAGGTCGTCTTTGGGAGGAGAGCGATTTGAGATGAGCACCACTCGCGGATGCGGGCGGCGTCCTCACCGTAGCAAGCGGTCCGGTCGCATGAGCAGATGACTTCAGCAGTTCCTGCGGCGACGCACGAGTCGTAGGCGATTGTGCATTTGTCCTCGCGCATGCGGAGAGTGGGAGATGCTGATGCAGCGGATGCTAAGATCAACGCGATGGCGGCAGATTTGGCGAGCATGTTGGCGAGAATGTCTTTTGGGTCTTGAGTGAAGTGGAAATATATAGCGTGTGTTGAGGAGATGCTGGTAGTTGTTGTTGGCTGTTGATGGATGATGAGGATGCAAACAACTGGACATGCGATGGCTGGACTATATATTCTTCAAGTACATGGCCACCACGATGTCATCCTAACTGTCGGTAGTAATAGAGTGTGATCGGATATACGGAGGAGGAACAGCTGATCACGTCCTTGCTTAGCCCTGGTGCCATGTTGTGGCTCTCGTGAGGCTCCCGGAGAGGCGAGAGACGCCTCATTGGCTCGCGAGCGGGACTTCTACGACGTTCGGCTCTTGTTGCGCCGCAATACGAGGCTCAGTCGCATGATATGACGATATTGCGCTTAACACGAGCGACGTTTCCTGGTTCCAGGGTCGTTTTCGATAGTTCGGATGCATCCCGGCGAGGCTTGATGGGCAGCTAACGACTAGTCGCTCCATTATTAGCAGCCAACTTTGGAATAGCACCTGTCAGCCGAGCTTGACGAAGCTTGAAAGGTGATCGCTTCGGCTGTCATCCGAGCAGCGGTGACAAAATAGGACCAAATTGTCAGGTATCCCTACATCTGGTATCGTTTTTGGAAGTTACGCACTGTACACCCGGGTAGTCCCATGTGCCGAATACGATGTGGCTGGGAGATTTGTGAGTTTGTGACGTGGTTTTCGGCTAGCCGATCGTCTCCATGAAAACAAATCCCCGCGTCCGGACACTCCGCTTCCAGACCATCACGAACAGCGCTTCGTGGTTGTTGCATGCCTCGGCGGCCACGGAGAGCGAGGCTGAGCTGGCACAGTCGGTGTGTGTTAGTGGTTGTCCAGATCCTAGTCGCCAAAGGCAAGTTCTACTAAGCTTTGCGCGACAATGGCATTGAGTTTCGTGCGCTTTTATCTTTGGCCGAAATCTCGTCGCAACTTCTCGTCTCTGTATTTCCTGCTATAATTGATGGACTCAAAGTTCGTGAAACGGTGCTGCAAGCAAACCATCGGCGACAAAGAATTCAGCGCATGTGTTGGAAACAAGACGCGATGATTTTACAAGGAGTCGTTCCGTTTCGCAACGACGTGATGTGGTGCGATTGAACAAGAGAAAAACAGCCAGAGCTCCTTCCGGACAGCCTCACGCTCATGGCAGTCGCACTGTGTCGCATCGGTACTAGCGCCACCATTAGCGCAACGCCATGCCGCTCCCGTCACCCGCAATCGTCATCACCAAGACCAAGGGATGACCATAGACGGCAAACAACGCGCTGCCAACCGCCATAGACACTCGAGATAGACCCACCATTATATGCAAAGCGTTACATGATGGCTGCCGCTGCTCCCGAGCCCGCCGACGTGACCGGCGCACGTAAACTGCCCACAGCCGAGGAGTTGTCGGAAGCGCTCAAAGTTGATGTGTACGATCGCGAAGGCAAGACAAAGACGTTGGGCGAACTGGTCAAAGGCCAGAGGACTGTATTGGTGTTCACTCGGCATTTCTGTGAGTGCTGTTCAATCGCAGGGTTCATGTGCTACTACACTTGCATCATCTCGATCAGAAGGGTAGTGGAAGACCAGGATACGTGAAGGATTCTAACATCGACAGGGTGTTTGAACTGCCAAGCGTACGTCCGCTGCATTAGCGAGTCTATACCGCCCTCGAACCTCCCTTCCAATACTCAGAGTAAGCATTAACTGTGCGGAGTCATTACACATGTATCTAACAGATAGTGTTCAGTTCTCATCATAGGATGCGGCTCCTACCAGCCCATCGACACCTATGCTGCCAACACTTCGTCCAAATACCCCATCTACACTGATCCAAGCCTTCAGCTGCACAAACTCTTCCAGTTCAAGTCCAACCTAGCTGAAGGCAAAGCCGGTGATGAACAGCGAGACTACATGCGCAACGCGGGCAGCACGATGTCCAGGATTTTTGGTGGCATCAAGGGCGCGTTGGGAAACCTGCAACATGTGAACTCTGTGGGACCAAAGGCACTAAATGGTGGTGAGGTGGTTCTATCGGCTGGTAAGTAGTCGGCCGTTGCCCATTCCTTTCGCGGTGGCAGTGCTAACGGAAGTGACATATAGATGGTGAATGCGAGTACATGTACCGCATGCAGAACACGGTTGATCACACCAACATCTCAGAGCTTGCGAAGCTGGTTGGAGCTGAGTATACCCCAGTGAGCAGCGAAGAGGGTAAAGAGCAGGCTGGCAATGGCCCAACGTCGTAGTTCTCTACAGTTCACATGTGCGCGGTGTTTCCAGGAGTTGCTTTAGTCGAAATTTCACAAAGTCCAACACGTTTTCTAATCATCTGATGCGTTCATGAGGATCGTTGTACTGAATCAATTTGTTGACATCATTAGTAGCCTAACTATCCGCGTAGCACAGCTAAGGTCTCTTCAGTGTTCTTGGGCGTGATCCATCCATGATCGAATCGATCCTTCGCATCGAAATATTCGAGTCTCATTGCATCCTCCTCGATTAGCCATTCCAAAGCCTCAAGCGGGGTTTCACCCGCATCATTCCTCGCATCACGCAACTCAGGCCAGCGGGCTACCATACAAGCTGCACTTTGGTACATCCCACTGAGAGCAACAATGTGCAGGAGATTTCCACCTGAAGAGTGTAGGACAACCCCAGAGATCTCCTCCGCGCTCATCTCACTATATTTAGTATCGAGCTTTTCGCGGAACAAGTGGTCTGGAGATCCAAGGGCGTCGACGACAACATTCATGAAGTCCTCGGTACCTTTGGATGGCTGTAGAGGCGCAGGATCGAAATCATCTGCTGCGGATAGGCGATGGCACGGATGACTGGCGTCGCTCGACAAGGCGAAGAATTTCGTGTTGCCCACACGTCGGAAGCCGAGATCACGGAATCGTTGTTCTTGATCATCGTGAAATGTGCAAGGAGTCGACCCCTTTGCAGTGCTTTCCCATGTATTGACAAACGCATATACAGGCTTCTTGAAGTGATCTGAGAATCCTTCCAGTACCTTTCGCATGATGCGTGCGCTCCCACCGTGGCATCGAGCGGCATGATTTGTCGTGGTACCGTTGAGTAGAAGGAGAAGACCAGTGTCTAGCTCCGAACCCCAGATGCCAGACCCTTTCTTGACGATGTGCTCTTTGTATTCCTCTCTCAAGTGACCGTGGCAATTGAATAGCTTGAAAGCGAGTTCTTTGATCGGGCCCGGGGTGGCGAAATGATTTATCTGGCGATAAAAGTCGGACATTTGAGTGCGGTCGATGAGATACCCAGGCTGGAGATCGAAGTCAACGCTCGTTGGCCCGTTGCGAATGAACTTTAACCAATCTTCTACTCCTAAAAATGGTGTTAGCGAGTGCTTGTATCGATGTTTGGTGTTGTGATTTGTGATAGAAGCTCGTAAATTACGAGAAAATACCAACACCAGATCGTCAACAACGATTTGAACGAAACATTCAAAAATCCCAGTTTCGTGTAGTACTGCAGTCCTATTCCACTCAACACAATTATAGATGTGTTATACTCATTGATGCAGCCCCTACACTTCGCTCCCCGCGTTTCTACATGTTGTGGTTGCTCCACGTCGTCGCTGCAAAAGTTGAACGAGCGAACTTACCGATGACATCGTATCCAGCGCAGGACGTAACTTGATAAGAAGCGGAGTAGGTTTGAGACATTTCGCACAATCTGCTTCGTCGGATAGTGAAGTATTGAGGTTTCCAGATGATGGGTGGGCAAAAGGTTGGAGTGAAGAAGTAGGGTGAAGAAAGAGGCAGCGACGGGAGAAGAAGCAGGTAAACCCTTATCGACCCCGCACAAATGAGGTTAACTAACAGCGTCTAGATCCATACTGCGACGTGTCAATCTCGGCACTTCTGCGCGTTCAGTCAGGCCATGAGTGACGCTTCAGCGGCACGGCGTCAAGCAAGATTAGACCTGGGGTCGGTCCACACATAATTCCGGTACACCAAGATGTGATCGACTATTCTTTAGAACCTTTCTTAGCCCACGAAAGCCTGCGTTAACGAGCAAGCTATCACTTCCACCTCACGGTTCACCACCAACGAGCAGCCAAGACTGGCCAATCACCAAAATCCCAGCCCCAATAAATGCACAGCTAGTATTTAGTCGACTTTACTTCTCAACTAATTCGAACAGTAGTACATTTCAGTATGCATGACTTTGATTCCATCATGCCAAATGACTTTCACGCCTGCGTCCCGGACAAGTGGTTTGATGGAAGACATGACGAGATCCCAACAAGTGTGCACATCACAAGAACAATCAAAAGCTGTGTTGAGTTGATTGGAACAAAATGCATTGACAAATTCATGGGTATATCTCTATCTAACATATCAGTAATCTATAGGAAATCATTACTCAAGTCCCGCATCTATATCTCCAGCCCACCAGCAAACGGATCTCTCGCATCACCCCTCATCTTCGCAACCTCTTCATGCTCCCTCCTTAGCGCCCTCCAGTCGAACTTCTCAAACGCAAAACTCCACGTCTTCTCTGCCACACTCAACATCCACTTGCTCATCGGACCAACATCGTCACCGTGAAAGCTCTTCCTTCCCACATGCTGGACCAGACTGGGTGTGACTGCATATCTCAGCTCGTTGCGTTCGTTGGCAAAGTCCTCTGTTATGACGTCCATGTATCCGAGATGGCGTTCTTTGAAGTATTCGACCAGTTCGCCGGCTTTGACGTTGGGAAAGACGAAGGCTTGACTGCAGCAGGCGAAGCGCGGCATCTCGTGGACGCCGACGGCCATAGGCTGGACGGTGATGCGGCCGAGGCCGAAGTATATGAGGATGAGGAGGGCGAGGGTGGTGTACATGGCGAAGAAGGTGCGGCGGGTCATGAGGGCGAGGGTGAGTTTGGTGGTGGGTTGTGCGAAGCGGAGGAAGAGGATGACGACCGTGGGCACGAGGGCCACGTAGACTGAGTTCTTCAAGTACGTCTTCCACTCCTCGGCGTTCCAGCCGAGAAACTCTTCGGTGTAGAAGAGGCGTAGGTAGAGGAAGTCGGGTTTCGCGCGCTGTAAGGCGGCTTGTTGCTCGGCTTCGTGGATGGCGCCGAGGGTACGGTGGTACCAGCCGTCCATGGCTACGGTGTCGTCTTCGAAAAGAGCAACATAGGGTGTATATTGTTCCGTACATTTGTTCAACAGGTATTGGTAGTCGAACAAACCCTTCTCGATATAGTTGTTTCGTGCCTCCATTATCCGAATGTACTGCATGCGGTCGTAGCCGTATCCGTAGGTCAATACCTCGTCGGCAAGACCAGATAGCCACTCCTCGTTGTACGCAGGGTGTGCCCCGGGGTTCGAGTGGGGTATGAAGACGATGAGGTATATCTCCTGTCGCTCTTCAGGCGTAAGTCCTTCAAGTAGCGAGCCCACAGCATCCGGCAGATACTGAGCACCGTCGCGCTGGTAAGAAGATATGCCCACACATAGTTTCCGCTGCTTCTCGGGGCCGGCCTTGGTTACGTTTGCGGGGTTGTAGGACTCGACGAAGGACTCGGCCTGCTGGCGTCTGACGGCGGAGTAGCGGGGAGCATAGCCTTTGCGTGGGTTGAAGAAGATGGAGGTAGGATCGCGTGCGGATATCGAGTTGATAGTGTAGAAGAAGCTAACAGCGACGAAGACGGCGATGCCTATGACCAGGCGGGAAGGCGAGAAATGCATAATGTGCGACTAGACTGTAAACGAGTGTGAAAATGCTCCAAGGGTATTATCGCATCGCTAATCGAAGGGTGGAAGTGGAAACGAAAGCAACGCCGGAAGGCAGGTCATGTCATCGTCAGTGGCAGCGTCGTGGTTGACAAACAAGAAAAGGTGGAGGGAGAAAAAAAGATAGGAGCGACGACGCGCGCTCAAGATGAGGCGGGCTTGAGCGGCCTGAGCTGAGCTCCACCAAAACGGCGGATCTTGCCTTACGAGGATCTGCCGTAGCTGACCAGTGACCAGTAACCAGTAACCAGGAAGATAAAATTAGCAGACCAGCATGCGCGTGGGTCGGTGCTTGGTACTCAGGGCGATGACGGGGCGCGCAAGATTGCCATGCCTGTAGTCGCGATCACGAGAAATGAAGCCCATTAATGCCGAGTCAATAGGGGGAATCCGGGATCAAAAAATATGGAAGACTCCATGCCACTCGGTGGTTTCGGCGGTATCAGCGAATGAGGCCGTGAGCGACAACCACGGTGTCAGCTTCTGCTCTTCGTTTGTGAGGATAGGAGAAGGAGAGAGATAAAAGGGTGAGGAGCGACGGTCCAGACAGAACTATGTGCTTCCCGCGTGTTTAGCGTGACTGTTGACAGTGACAGCGACTTGACAGACGGTGGCAACTCCGCCTCCCCCGTGCCAATTTGGAGAAGTCTCCAAGGCTGGCTACACCGTACGGTTGGTTTTGCAATCATCACGATTAGATTGCCGAGGGCCTATATGATCGCTCGGTTCCTTCCCACCATCTAGCATACGGGACGAACGTTCCTTCCGACAGTTAACGGGTCAAAATCAATAGTCGCTCCAACACGTGCGCAGGCGTGTTGGCGCGCGCCACAACCGAAGTGGCGCGATGACGAGCCCGGAACATGGCCGCATCTGATGGCATCTGCGCATGCATCGCATTGAGTCACCATCCTATCGTCGCTGCTTTATCAACATTCTTGCAGGGCTTGTCGCACTCAGCCCTTTCTTTGATCCAGTCATAGCTGTTTGACTCACCTGCCTTGATCCCCGCTTACCCTGGAATCACTCATATAGCGTACCAGTACCAGCACCAGGCAGCTTCCGGCTCCACGCGCAGCAGCAGCAACCGTCGTCGGTGCCATGCCCAAGAAGCACACGCCCTCGTACACAACAGCAAAACCGTCTTACGTTCACCCTTCGCTACAGAGTTCGCGCTCCCCCGCATCCTCGTCCTCGTCGTCTGAACCCCAAACCGTCAACCAGCGCATCCAGCAGCTGCGTCGCGAACAAGCTCCGAGAGCAACGCCCGAACAGCGCGATGAGCTCACTTCGGTAGTAAGCAGTCGTACCGTCCCGCCAGAGCTGCGGCGCATCCTGCACATACCCGAAGTTAATGCTCCCAAACCAAAGGCGAATACACGCACGCGGAGGGTCATGGGTGGTGTGAGACCCCCACCAGGCCCCGCGGCGCCTTCAAGCTGGTTGCAGACGAGTCGGCATGCGCCAGCGTACATGAGAAAGAAGAAGGCAGAGTCAGAGAAGGGCGCCGTGAGGTTTGCCACGCTGGCTAGGGTCACAAATGACGAATTGAAGGTATGATGCTCCCCAGAGCGTCACCTCAATCGATGGGAAATTGAACACCGTGGAGCCCTCATTGGCGTAGAAGAATCCATTCTTGGAGGTGTAGCGTCAACGTAGGCTCCTGGGTGTTCAGTTTCTTCGTCGTGGGAGGTGGCGTGCTAGCACATCTGGTCTTCCAGGCTTAACAATTCAGGCTTCTTACTCATGACAGCGCCTACCACCGCCGCGAAGCCTCGTCCACCAATGTCTCCGGACATTTGCGCAACATTGGGAAGAGCTCTCCGAGTACGAACAACACTACATTCCTTCGCTACCGATATCCCTGAAAGAAGCGCTACTGAGCTATCTCACACTATACGGTCAGGGAGGTTTGGATTTCAAGTCGCTCAAGATCCTGTTCCAGGATGAAGAGGGGACTGGCACAGCGGGGTGGGACGAAGTCCAATTCCTTGATCTCAGCGGACTGCTGAGCGAACGCTTCAAGATCACCGATCTTGGAAAATGCGTCAAGCGTCCCATATCCAGTGCTATAACGACTGTAGACGTCGCTTCGCTCCGCCTAACGGACGACGTCGCCGACTCCTGGGAAGAGGAAATACAAGAAAGTCCAACGGCACCCTTGGTACCAGCAATGAAGCTCCAAACGCCCTACTTCAGCAACCTGAGCCGGCTTTCCCTTGCGAAACCTGGGCAATGGGCTTCATGGCCTGACTTACTGCGTATCTCGCCCAACCTCAACAAGATCACACACCTTTCGCTCGCGCACTGGCCACGGCCTTCGATGACACCAAACGCAAACACCACATCTATGATCTCAAAGCACACGAGCGTATCACTGGGCGGGTCGCACTTCTACTCCGACCTCGACGACGACTGGCACGAAGCCACCAACATCCTCCGCCGATTCTCAAAAGACACATACTCGCTACAATGGCTCGACCTAGAAGGCTGCAACTGGCTCAAAGCCCTCACATCGCACCCCGGTCGCACGCCAACAGACATAAACGGAAATACAGAAGAATGGAGCACGCAGAACGGCATTCCAGGACCAGATTGGAATGATGCGTGGCGGCGCATAACATATATCAACTTTTTCCAAGGTTGGATCCCAAGCGATAATCAGAGTCTGCAGAATATGCCCGCAGGTATCGTACCTGTGCAATTACTTCGCTGGCTCAGAGACAACAGGGACAAAGAAGCCTGGCGTTTGAACCCAAACGAGACGGGCCATGCGGTGGCGGAGTGGGTGAACAGAGAGAAAGTGGCCAGGCTGGTAGGGATGGAAATCCAGGGCGTGCGCAAACGAGGAGAAGGTGCCTGGTGTCGGATTGACTTTGGATGGGGAGGCTCCGATGAGAAAGCTGTATGAGCACCTCATTCACGGGAAATGCCAAA